GTAAGACAACACTCAGCAAATATTTGTAAAACATGTTTGTAAACTATGTATTAGTGTATGTTTTGTAAGTTGTCCTAAATAAATAAATAAGGAGACTAAAACTGACCTGAATAAATACGTTTAAAATTGTATTACCATTGTAAAAGGAGGATGATTTACGAGTGAACGTGTCAGGAACTAGACAGTCAACCTCATTCATCCACATGTTGGCACCGTCCAAATTCCACTTCCGTACGATAATTTAAATAAACCGGAATTTTTATCTCTATAATATTTTGCTAATGATATCTGTAAATATATTATTGTTGTAAACGGTTGTACATATTTGAATACGATATGAGAATGGAAATACAAGTGTTTTGCTTATCAACACTATGAAGTATTTATTTCAGTAACAAATAAAAATCAATGTTTATTTGTTCCTATATCACGCGCGTCCATATACATAAAATATATAATGCCACTAATATCTAATAATTATGTTTGGAGCGCGTTTTGACGTATTCAACGTTAGGAGGAGGAGGAGGAGGGGGGGTAATTGGGCTACTGTTAATCATACACTTGTTGAAAAGGATTTGTTTAATACTGGTTTTCCGTGAGTCCGTGTTATTACTCCGGTCGAGCCGGACTATATAATAATATATACCATTTTCAGACATTGGTACACAACGCCATCTAGTTTCAAACTAAGCAGAGCTTGTACTATCAAAAATTGATTGACTAATAGAATACTACTTTTATTTTTATATGTCCTGAAGTATGACCTTCCAACGATTAGATTTGAGACATTGCAATGAAATATATATGTAAAAAAATTACTTTCAATTACCATGGCAACAGGCTATTAGTATTATTCAATAGTTTATTTAATTAAAGTGAAAGTGACGCAATTTATCGATACATTTAAAACTTTTATTGATTCAAATTGGTTGAATTAACGTGCCCTATATAAGTCGGGACTAACAATTACTTGTGTACGTGAGTTTAATACTATTATACGGGTTTGAATTGACGCTCCGATACTCATTACCACTTGCTTCAAATATTTGACATAGTTAAGGTGTTGTAACTACTAATAATTAACCAGTACACGCCGGAAGGTCTCTCTTAGAAAGGAGGTTTACACCACGCTGGCTAGACGGGTTGGTATAGGGGCTTACGACACCCATGGGATAAATAGGGATATATTTTCAATACGTCACCACACAGAAGACCAAAAGGTAAATTCTTGTAAAAAATAATTGAAAATTCAGTACCGATCTAGTCTCGATTTAGCAAATGTCATAAAAAAAGGTATTATCGTAGTACATAGCTATAAAAATAAAAAATAAACTTTCGCTATTGACTGCATTTTATTGTTAATCATACGATGAATTACATTCGTTCTGAAGAAACACGAGAGAAACACATTCCCTTTAAACCTCTTTTGATTTTTCTTAGAATCGATTACAAGAAATGAGATAAGTAAAAAAAGACTTGTTTGATGTTGCAATTACAACTGAACAAGTAAATGTAATTATTTAAACATGAGTTCGGTTAAAGGGTTCTGTCTTCCGGACAAAGGCAGATCGATTATATGTATACGATCATGACCTGAGGGCCAAGTGTGAGTGTTACTTCATATGAAGACGCTTTCGACAGCGAGTGCGTTGCGATTGGTGCAGATTTTAGAGCGGGCCAATCGCAGCGACACTAGCACTTGAGCCTCTGCTTGATGCCTATACGGACGAATACGGTAGTATCTCTTTTCTACCACTACCTTCACACACTATCCGTGTGACCGATTAAGAATACGGAATGACACCAACCACCACTATTCTTTCTGTCGTAAGAGCCGACTAGGGGGGCAAACTAGGACAACAGCACTGCTAGGAGTAATACTAACCCTTCTGGTTACCGTGGTATAGAAGCCCAAAACTTAAGAATAGGCCTATGCCCAGTACTGAGGGGACTTTTAAAGGCTTTCGATGTGATGTGTAAATAAAGTACTCAGCAAAATCTTAGCGTTTAATACATCCCTGTATGTATATATGTATACGTAGGCATGTCAAATGGTTAATTCTTTAGTTATTTTAGTTAATCCGTCATGAATGTTACCAAGGGCAAAACAGAAGTATTTTTTGTGTTGTCGGAAGGTGTGACTAGGGTTGGTACAATAACAAGTTAAAAGTAATTTCGATTAAAATATAATATTAATAGTTCGTGTCATTAGTTATAACAGAAATTACGGCCAAAAATATGTATATGTCTAAATACGATAAAAAAGTGGCATTAGAAACTTCGAATTGCAATAAATTCTGATTTCACAAGTTTTTTTTTACACGAAACTTCAAACTGAGCAAACAGGTTTTAATTAAGATACATTTATTAGATAATTCATTAAATTAGATGTGTAGCTCATTATTAATTAAAATTATTAATTAGTTTAAGCTATCTGATTATGTAGAATTATTCATTTATAATATGAGAAGCGTTGTGTGTGGGCATTATAAATATTTTATATGCTTATACAGTTTTAGGAGGATTATACGCTACCCAAGAGTTAGAATTTGAAAAGTGGTGCCTTAGTGGTGTGGTACGGTACGCGACTGCAATCCATGAGGCCTCGGGTTCGGACCGGGCAAAATTTTATAGGGTTTTTCTGAGAGATCTATCTAAATATTATTAAAAGACACTAAAATATTTTTACATCTTTAAAGACATGGCAACCCTACGAATAAAATCTGTGTCCGAAATCGACCTTGTTCTACCAGACAACTAGATCCGCTCTAAGCTCTACACTAATTACGGATTATACTTTTAATTCCCAATCCAATTACAAATGGCGTAATCACCATATTTTAAATAGGTTGTATAATCACCTGATTCATTGACGTATGTTTATTCTGTTTAATTTCATGAATTTGATTGGTATGCTGCATGAAATGACTTATAGATGTAGCTGTTATGCAATGTACGTAGGTTTTGTCACGAATATGTTCTATCTACTTGTATTGTATCTTTGGCGTAGGCTTTTTGTTATTAACAAACTACACAAGTCTTGAAGGAAACGGAGTTCTCTTAGGTTGTTTAAGAAATTGGTTATTCCTATTAACGATGATTTAAATCTTATAAATACATTTGTTTATGAACCTGTCCTAGAGGCGCATGGTTTTAAATATTAAAATTAAATATCGTGAGATTTCGACTAATAATCTTCTTTTACCGTTAAAGGGCCTTATATTGGAAATTGAGTAGAATTTTAGTTCGTTATCTAGATGTTAAAGATCGATAAAAAAGACCACGGTCGGGTACCAAGAAATTATTCGAAACTTGTGTGTGACGTCACAGATGTAAAAAAAAAGAATTTTCTTGCAACCATGATCATTATGAACAGCCTTTAAATAGTCCATTTCTGGACATAGGCTTCTTCTTAGAAGGGTTTGTGTCAAGTTTTTCCTTCTCTCTGTAGTGACTTAAAGGTATTATTAGGTAAATCTTTTATAAAATTTGAATAAGATGGTATGATGTTTTAAATAGATACTATAATTGCCACAATAATATTATTGGATTCCTTATGTTTAAAATTACTTTTTATAAATTACTAATGTTTCTTTCTTGTGTTTATTTGATCGTGCAAAATTTAAGTGGAAATTGCGCTGTCCTAAAATGTTAGTTGATAAAATTCTTCCTTTACTTTGGATGACATATGTATTTTTATGCAAAATACTAACACTAAGAATTGCTATGCAGATTAGTGACCCGCATTTTAGCTCTATTATAATATATTATTGTGTAAGAACGATAACAGTTATCTTGAAATCTTATATTCGTTGAAATGGCCTTCTACAGATATTAAATTTGGGTTTCACAGATTCTTCTACAGATATTAAAAAAGGTACCTATAAAAATTATTCAGATGAAAGTGATTTTATTGAGGCTACCTTTGCCTTGTCGCTAAGAGATAAGGCTAATCAGCAGATCGTCAGTGCTTCGAATGTCTGGCAAGGGTTTAAAAAAAATAAGACTAAAAAAGTATTGGGTTTTTTTTTTAAATTTGGAACAAAATGTATTAATGATATGGTACATTTTGGAGCTTTTTAGATGAAAAATAAATATGAATTTTCAAATTTGGAATTATTTGATTAAAAGTTTTCTAAAAAATGTATTTAATAGACCTGAATCTCCCGAGTTTGCAGGGGTCATTGACTTTCAATCTTCTGTCCTAAATCCTCAAGCTTAGCGTGGCCGTTTTTATGCTATTTCTACATACGTATTAATGTTGCCATGCAATCTTGTTTTGGTACTTTTTGAAGGGAAACAAATAAAGTAATACGCAGAGATAAGTATTTTCCATTAGATTTTATCTCGAAGAACCCGAGATCAATAGCATTGTCGTAATCACGAGGTACGTGTCTACTGATAACGGCAATCGCCTATACCTTGTACTAACTATAAGATAAAAACTATAAAGGCCTATGGGTTAGACTTTTCTTAGCTCTTGAACTCTTCATAATTTGAATTTAGAATATAGAACATCAAATTATTCAAAGAAACAAGATTCTGTAGAAGTTTTAAAATGGCGGTGTAATTTTTCACATCACATCATCACATCAACAGCCTTTGATAGTCCACTGCTGGACATAGGCCTCTCCTTAGTAATTTTTCAACATCTTTAAATTACAGTGATTTGTATATCTATTTACATTCTGAAATTGGTTTGCATTTTGTGCCACGATTCAACAAGAATGCAACGCGAGTAACCTCAAGTTTTCATCATCGGGAAATTCAATCGACAATCGCTATTCGTCCGCTATCAAACTGCAAGTACATCGATTAGACCATTACTATACACGTAATCTTTTTCTCCTGCCATTAATTGTCAATGGACATAATAATAACTGTTTTAAACTCAACAATAATGTAAAAACCACACATTTACACATCTTCACTGGTATAAAAAGAACTAAAAAGAATGTTGCCAACGTAATTTCGTAAAAAAAAGAAAGCCAATTACTTACACGTATGCTTTCGTTTCCTGCAAACGCACCGTAGCCTCTTTGAAGAACTCGTAAACCACCTTCGAGTACTGAGTGGACACAGCAAGAAGATCAGGTTGGTATTCAATCTTCTTCTGTATTTCAGAAGAGGATGGGTCGGTGACGATGTTGTGTTTCTTCTTCATGCGTTCTATGATACCAGAGGAACTTTTCTTAGGCTGCGCTGCCGGCGCCTGTATTTCAACCACATCACGATGACACATATTGCACATTTTTTGCTATATTTCGCACGGACGACGTTCACTGTTCGTTTGGGGCAGGCGGCCGCTCGTTCGAGTATATAAGTCTAGGAAATCGTGCCCCCACTACCGCGCTCTGTGACGTAGACATGTGGCGGCGGCGTGCGAGTACGTATTTCTGGGGATTCGTTTATTGTAATGGAATAAGTCATCGATTATGTAGACGGGTGTGTTGGTCTAGTGGTTAGGGATCCTGGCTACTGTACCAGAGTGTGCCAGGTCGTGTATTCGTATCCCACACAGGAACATATAATTAATTGTGTAAAGGGCGCAATTGTTCGTTTTATGTTGGAGTGTAATTTATCTAAATATATACTTATCAGCAGTCTGATTAATACAGTACAGGCTCTGCTTGGTTGGGGATCAGACGCTTGTGTGTGTAATGTGTCTAATTATTATTATTTCTTTCTTTAATCCTTAATAACTTTAATTAACTACCCATACCTGGGTGGGATCTGATACAATTTGAATAGTCGATTGAGTCAACTACACTTCATCTCTTTTCTTAATAAAAACCCTTATTAAGTTATTAAGAAGAAAAATGAAGTTCTGTATGTAATCCTTAAAAATCCGAAGTGAAATTGAAAAGGTATATTGTCGCACCGTTTAATTAAACACAATATATTACTTAAATCCCATATCAAGCCACGATAAATATAATTATATTAAAATTTAAAGATTTTTCATATTTTTCATACAGTAATAGTAAATTAGGACAAGATATACCTTCTGAATGATACACATTGAGATACTTTAAAATGTATTTTAGACACATTATTCGTTTTAAACCTTAAACAAATTTGTTTCCATAATACATCTGCATGAAAACGTTGATAAAAGCCTGAATATATTTTTAAGATATAAATCCTCCATTCACGTATATTTATTTATTTTATATTAAGTTAATGCACAAGTTGTCCACAGGCGGACTTAGTACCCAGGTCGTATGAAACGGTAGGTGCTAGATAACTAAAACTAATAACATAAATAAAATACTATATTCATATTTAGTGTATCTTTCTGTTATTTTAAATGTAACAAAATGGCTCCCCTGCTGATTTTTTTATATGTGAGTATCCAATTTGTTGTTAATTCATTTGATTTGCTGTTTTAGCCTTGAATATCTAGAATGGCGAGAAAACAATTTAACTGAATGTTATTTTTGGATCACTGAATAATCAAATTTATATGTATATATTGAATAGTAAAGTGTAAATGGCTCTGATATATTTGTATAAGTAACTATTTTGCAGTTATTGGAACTGCAAAATAGTTACTTATACAAATATACTTTTACCAAGGTTTAGGTGTTTAGTCCAAAATTAGTGCTGTCGCTTTTAATTAAAAAACAACAAAATTTTGAGAGATTAAAACAAGGCGCCATTGTAATATTCAGCGACAATATTTTTTCTTTTTATTTCAATCGACTTTCTTTTTATTAACTAGCTTAACGTCAACTTGTTTTCTTTTATTTTTAAGTCTTTTTTTTTAACTATAAAAATCAGAAATAGCCTTCTGCGAGTGATTAAAGCTTAAAACGAAAGAATTCCATGAATATTTAATATTTTGATACGGTTTTTATGCACTTTTGTTAATGGATTTAACGTATAATTTATTTATATTGATCATTAAGATTATTTATCAATTAAGTAGTTTTATTGGAGAATGTCACAGGATGCATTTTTTACAAATAGTAAATTCTTAGTGTAAGTGAATTAAGGATACGGAGTTTCACCACCTCTATTCATCCCGTGGGTGTCGTAAGAGCCTATAAGGGAGCAAACTACGCAGGACAATAGCACTGCGAAGAGCAGGAAAGCTTGACACAAAGCCTGAGGCACAGTAGGCCAAAGCCTCCTTTCTAAGGAGAGGCCTATGTCCAGCAGATTACCAAGAAAGACTGTTGATAATGATGATGATTAAACTATTAATATTGATCATATTTTGCAGTAAGATAATAAAAATCTACTTAAAGTATTCATCAGTTAAACGGCACAGTTCACGATCGGATGGCGTAGTGGTTTGTGTAACGGACTGCTATTCTAAAGGTCGCGGGTTCGATTCCCGCTCAAGTCGAACATTTGTGTGCATGAACTTTTAATGTTTGTTTTGGCCTGGGTATTTCTATATACAAAAAAAATGTATATATGTATTGATATCAGTTGTCTAGTAGCCATAGAACAAGCTCTGCTTAGTTTGGGACTAGATGGCGTTGTGTGAATGTGGTACAATATTATATTATTATTACAGACTTGCCGTGAAAAGCCAATTGGTGGATACGTACGTTACCGTCACATGTTCGTGATATTGCTTTTTTACTCCAATACATTGATATAAACTATATTTTTACCTCTTCCTTCTATTCTATCCACCTTTCCTTCTAATATATCCCCCATCTTCTCATCTAATCCCTGAAGTACCCGCTTTACAGCAAGAAGCTTGCCGCCTGTGACGTAAATGGAACTAAAATAACAGTTGACCAAATGATCACATCTCTGCCTGTCACCTGCCTGATATAGGCGTGAGAGTGTATGTATGGGTTATTAAACACAGGTCGAATGGTCAGTTCTTTAGTTAGTCTACCCCTTTGCCAACCCGTTATCCGTGTGATGAAGGATTAAGAATATAGATAGATATAATAGGCCAAAACCTCCTTTCTAAGGACAAAGAAAGATACCTATATCCAGCTGTGGACTATTAAAGTTATGATGATTGTGAACCCGTTCCTGTGAAACAGTTACCTAGTTTATATTTAAATTGTACATATTAATTGTATATATTAGTTGTGTCATCAACAGCCTTTAATAGTCCACTGCTGGATATACATAGGCCTCTCCTTAGAAAGAAGGTTTTGGCCTACTATACCACGCTGGCCAGACGGGTTGGTATAGGGTTTGTGTTAAGTTTTCCTTCTTTTTGCAGTGCTGGTGTCCTGCTTTATTTTCGACCTTAGTCGGCTCTTACGACACCCACGGGATGAATCGGGGTAGTGACATTCCGTATTCTTAATCCGTCACTACACGGACAATTAGTTGTGTATGTAATTGTATATGTTAACTAAAACTTTGTAACTTCTAACACGACTACAACCACAGTGCATCTATCTTACCAGATTTCTACACCATCCAAAGGTTGGCTGGTAGAGAATGCGCAGGGCATTAAAGCCTCCGAAGGGTGACGCGACCCGTCTTGGGTGAGACGGGCTATTCCTGACTGGGGTGGCGGAAGAATGCAATTGCGATTCTCGCTCCCCCAGCTATTGGTAAGGAGAGGAACACCGGGGTGGTTTTTAGTCGGTAAGAGTCCGACAGACCTCTTTGCCCTAATCCATAGTGCGAAGGACATCCATGAGGATCTTCCACTCCGGTAACAAAAAAAAAGGACATTAAGGCCGCCGCTGTACACAAGTTGTTAAAAAATAAAATAAATTAGGAATTTCAGTATTTGAATTCGGCTGGCACAAAACCGCCAGGAGTGGCGTGAAAGAGAAAATACCTATATCCAGCAGTTAGTTCAACAGGCTGCTTTGATAAGTATTTCAGTGCAGTTTCATATTTTTTTATCCCAATCATCATTTTAATAAAAGTCAATATCGTGTTAATAACAGAATCTAAATAAACTAAGAAAGTATTCGGTTCTCATTCATAATAATCACACCACATCATGGGTATTTTTTTCCAGTCTACCTTAGGGTGGTACAAAAATATAACAACGTGACACGTATACATATGCACATACAAACACAAATACATACTTGCTAAGTTATTTGCAAATTAACCCTCCTTTTATGTTATTATATAGCATTTTTATATCAGATTGTAAGTTCCAGTAATACATTTGGATAAAATTAAAAACTTTAATTTCATTCTGAATTTTAACGCATGCTTTTATTCTGAAGGGTATGTAATGTAACTCCCTGCTCTCAAAATATCGTGGTCTTTTATGGTTTAGGCGCCAAAATATTGCCGATTTTATAATATCAAATGATTACTAGAAATATTCACAGCTATAAATTACAGCAAGCAATTGAACACTGAACTGTGCAGGACAATCCTTCACTACAACAACGCGGGCGCCCACCGTGCGCTCACAACGAAGAACATTCAGAAGGCAAAAAAATACTTAGGTTATTACAAAGTCTTCTTGACTATGCTTCTTTCTTCATTCTTTCATTTTTCATATGTATGCTGGTAATTAAAATCTTTATTTCCCAATCATCAACAGCCTTTAATAGTCCAAAAAAGGGGGTTTGGCCTGCTATACCACGCTGGCCAGACGGGTTGGTATAGGGTTTGTATCAAGTTCTTCTTCTCTCTGCAGTGCTGTTGTTCTGCGTAGTTTTCGTCCCGATAAGATGTGTATATTAAATCAATCAAAGTGAAGTTAATGACGAAGTGACATGGCGTTGATAAAATTATTTTTAACTTGCTGTATTCGGTCACGATACGCTGTAGAACAATACTGTTGCATTGATGAGAAATAGGAAATAAAAATAGAAATAAAATACAAAACTGACACAAGAAATGGATAAAATTATTGTTGTGACGGGTTAAGAATACGGAGTGTCACCTCACCTATTCATCCCGTGGGTGTCGTAAGAGCCGACGAACGCATGTACGAATGACGAACCGTTTCGCGCGCCCGGATGTTGCCGGATTTAATGCCCCGGGCATTTTCTTCCGGACAACCTTTGGGTGTTGTAGAAATCTTGTAAGGTGCACAGAGGTTACAAATTGATTTCAATGAAAATATACACAGTTCACCACATACATAAACTTTTTTACAAACACATTTACACATCATAAATACACATATACATGTAAATATGTACATTGAAAATACATAGGAAGTTAAACATCTGTCATCCTTTTCAAATAGAACCTGGCCAATGCATCCCTCCCAATCTCCCTCAGTCTTACTTAGAGGGCAATGTTCTGCAGAGGATGTCCCAAGGCCAAAACGATGCGATGACATGCAGATCATGATATCAATGAGATAAAAACTACATACGTCAAGTCATAAACCACAATCGATATTTAAAATAAATAATATTTAGCAGTAAACTCTTTGGAACGGGGTTTTACTGAATATCTAGAACTCTCAATTGAATAAATCTGCGTCATTCAATTGGAAATTCTTAATAGCTTAGTTCAAATTTTAAACTTGTTCTTATGAGTTTGTTTGCGAATGTGTGACGTCGTATCTCTGACTCCACTAGATAAGACAGCAGTGTACACAGCTAGAGTTTTAAGGTTATTTTTACGCATTGTTTGTTTTACATAATTTAATTGTGTCAATGGCCGCTTAAAAAAACCTTTTTATTCTAAACGTTAACGGTAATAAAAAACAGGACAACTCTGTGTCCGGCTTGTAATATTATAATATATCGTTTGAAACAAATAACTACATCACATCAACAGCCTTTAGTAGTCCACTGCTGGACATATGCCTCTCGTTAGAAAGGAGGTTTTGGCCTACTATACCACGCTGGCCAGACGGGTTGGTACAGGGTTTGTGTCAAGTTTTCCTTCTCTTTGCAGTGCTGTTGTCCTGCGAAGTTTGTTCCCTTAGACGGCTTCCACGACACCCACGGGATGAATAGGGGTGACTACATTCCCTATTCTTAATCCGTCACCACACGGACCAATAACTACTTCGTCTTAGTAATATTTTTTGTCCTCACACAAAATTTTCCATGCATGTCCATTTTTGTAAGTTTCATGATTATGATTATTCATTCTTAAATATAAATTGTCATTTAAACTTTGTTTTCAAGTACGCTATGCTCTTAAAAACATTTTCTTAGCACATGATCATGTCATTGTCGTACAGATAATATACAAGGGAATGTGTTATCTTTAGACGCAAATTCTCAGAGTCTCATCTGTAGTGCAAAGTACAAAATACGTCAGCTGAAAAGAAAATAAGAAAATGCGATGGTTATTTATTTATGAATGGTTTACTTACAATCGTAACATTTTGACTTAATCTAACAAACTTAATTTAGTAGTTTTTAAATAACCAACACTTTCAAACAAACAACATTTACACAGTATTAAGTTAACAATTGTGAGATCAGGATAACATTTTGTGTTTAATTTACTTTAATTTAACTTACATAATATGTTTTATTCTTTATTTCTTATGGTTAGGGTATTCCCCAGGCAGCCAGTTTAGATTCGGATAGAAATCTCCTTTATATATCTGCTCTTTTCCTTGTATCTCCTTAAAACCGCTTTTAATATTCATCTTTGTGAAATGAAAGCAATACAGACCAAATTGACACTAAGCTACTTGAAGCAAGTTACTATCAAACCGGTTAAGGACTTAAAGGGAACGTCCATAGGGTCTTAAATGTCGTGTAAATAAGTTTATTAAGTACTATTTACACTCAAATATTAATTAAAGATTATTGGTAATAGCAGATATGTAAGCGCATGTCTTAAATTATGAACATTTCCAATACCGGAGCACTAGAACAAGTTTCTTACTGAAAAACTACAAATTTATACAATTATGCAAAGGCTCAATATTAACAAAAAAAATCGGTTTTCAATTGAACGGAAATATAATATTAAATACTATACCAACCCGTCTGGCCAGCGTGGTATAGTAGGCCAAAACCTCCTTTCTAAGGAGAGGCCTATGTCCAGCAATGGACTGTTAAAGGCTGTTGATGATGATGATGATCCTGATGAAAATATTGGGATAAAAATAAAATTGACATTGATCAAAGGTACACTGTTGGTACTTATTTGCGTTTTAAGGAAGTTTAATTAATTTTGGTCTCGATGCGACAAGACGCAACATTGATTGATAGAAGACCATCTCTTTGCAGTGCTGTTGTCCTGCGTAGTTTGCTCCCTTAGTCGGCTCTCACGACACCCACAGGATGAATAGGGATGGTGACACTCCGTATTCTTAATTTGTCACCACACGGACGTAAACATACACATGATGAAACAATATATGCTTAATCAGTTTTATATATATATATGTAATGTATTCACAAAAAAAGTATATATGTATTTAAATTAGTTGTCTAGTACCTGTAGTACAAGCTCTGCTTACTTTGGGACTACGTTATGTGAATGTGGTAGAATATTATTATTATTGTAAATGCCTTTTACGTTATTTTAAGGACACTATTCGGGCTGAGGAATGGTGAGTTCTAACTCTCTTAGTCTTCTACTTCACATCATCACATCAACATCCTATAATCGTCCACTGCTTAACATAAGCCTCTCCTTAGAAAGGAGGTTTTGGCCTACTATACCACGCTAGCCAGCCGGGTTGGTCTTCTACTTATGTAATAATAATAAACCACATCTCACACACGACCGTTAGATCCTAAACTAGGCAGAGCCTGTACTATAGTAACCAGATTACTGATAAACATACTTACATATTTCTTATGTATATATATTATACATGAAAGTGACTATCGCCGCCCATGAACGTCTGCAACTCAGGAGTCACAAACGCGTTGCCGGCCTTTGAAGAAGGAGTACGCTCTCTTCTTGAAGGTTTGAAGGTCGTATCGGTCCGGAAATACCGCGCCGATAACCCGTTCCACAGATTGTGCGGGGCAAAAAGTGCATATATGCATACATATTATAGATAAATTACACTAACACATTCTGAATGGGAATTAAACACACGACCTCTCTGTGAGCTTTGGAATCACTATTCGCTAGACCAACAGGCCCACCAACCCTTCCATAAAATTAACACATGGAATAAAAAACTGGAAACAGCAGTCTTGCATCATATTTTATTTAGTTAGGAAGTGTTTACGGACTGATAAAGGCTTATCAAAAAGCGGGCCGTGTGCTTAGAAGTAATCATAGTCCTTTAAAAATATTTTTATTTTCAAATGTTGGTCTGGGGAGATTACAACTAAGCCATCCTTTTATTTAAAGATAATAAGAATATGATTTTTAACGAAATTTCTGTTGCGGGGACAGATTACAAAACAATAATAATTACAAAACCACTTAATTTCAAAACCTCGTAAAATCTTGCAGATAAGTAAAGTAAAGAAAAAACATAATGGAAGTTGTAATATATTTATTTGAGAAACAAGATATCTAAAAAAGTAGTACAGCTTTTGGCATTTTAACACAAATGTAAACACTTTTTAGAAACTTGGTATTGGGCTATCTTGGGATGCTGGTCGCTGAAGATGGCCCAAAAAATATTAATGAAAATATATGCATTATAAACACTTAAACACTTTTAACATAAAACATCAAAATAAAAACACATCCTTCTCATAACATTATTTATAAAAGGTAAAAAAACAACCAAAAATTTAAATGTGGGCTATCTTAAATCTATCAAAATAAAAATCAACTATAAAATAAAAACAAACTACTAAATAAAATTAAATTTAACTTTGAGATCAACTTTGAAAGTAACTTATCAAAAATAAAAATATATTAGTTCTTTTTTCTAAAATATTTTTTTTAATGTCATTCATAGGTGGGCTATCTAAGGAATACTGAAAATTAACTTTGGGATCAATCAAAATATACTTAATAAGTTAAAACAAATTAGACGCTACTGTCTTTAATTGAGTGTGTACACTCCTAACAAAAAAAATCTGAAAAGAATCTCAAAAGTGAATTTACTTAATAGCTTAATCAGAACTTTAATTGCACTCTGGACATATGAATTGCTCCTCATCGTCTTTGGTTAAACCCACACAGACTTCATGATACCATTTTTGGCATTTTTGGCATTGACGCATATCATCAAGTCTATCCACCTTGCATCCATGACAATACCAACCATGTTTTTCGAGTGTTTTAGATTCCTTCTTCTTACTTGCTATTGTCACCTTCTTATTAATATCTTCATTCAGCCGTCTTTCTCTGGGTACTTTTTTAAGCTCATTACCTTTTTTCTTATTTAGTTCTTTTTTACCTATATTAGAGTCACTCGGTTGTTTTTCTTTCTGTCTCTGGTTTCTTGTAAGTTGCAAATTTTTAGTTGTATCAGCGTCACTTGGTCGTCTGCTTGGTTTAGTTTTTTGGTTGTTCTTTTAGTGTTCTTCGCCGTTTTTTCTTTAGCAGTATCAAACAAATCTTTAGTTATTTTTTGGCCTATATAATTCACCGCTTTTCTTCTCGGTTTGTATTTAATGGTAGCGAAATTAGGAGTGGGGATTTGTTTGTGAAATGGTGATTTTTCAGCATGTTTTTTCAGTTCTGATAAAGGTAAATTATCTTCCGGATCATCAAGTTGCACTTTATTGGGCTCAGAGAGCGATGGAAGTTTTCTGAGGTCTGCATTTGATTTTTCTTTGTCTGATTCAGAAGATAAAGTATAAATATTAAAACGCTTTGTAGAATTTTTCATTTTTTAAAGGCCTTCATCAAAATCCTCATTTTCAGATAAATCAGGCGTACTGGAACCTAAACGCAGTATTAAAGGTTGGTTATTTAAGCCAGAGGTAGTAGGAACAGGTAAACAAAACTCTGTACTTCTATGTTTCTCCAAAACAGGTAGCTTTTGAATCGGATCTTGATTCTCCAAGTTGTCCATGTTAAGATCTTCAAAAGAGGAGCTATAATCAACTAATTTTTTGACAAAAGTTGGAGATTGCGGATAAGATTTAACGATTTCGACGTAATTTGCATGATTTGGGGATCGTCGTGAATTAATCGTGAATTAAAATTGATGGTGATAAATTCCTGTCCTCTTCCTCACGATTTGAAAAATTTTCATCCGAATGATTGTCGCATCTTGTGTACATAACAGGACTTCCGGGAATAGAATCTCTTGAAGGTGATGAATTAGAAACTGAATCAGGCATTCTTGAGGAACTTGCCATCTGTGGATCGGGCATTAGTGTAAGTACTGAAGGTGCATACGATTCTTCAGGAATTGCGCTGGGTTCGTACGGCAAGAGGCCGGTAGCTCTAAACCCACTGTTTATATTGTCCTTGGTCATGCACTTAGACCAAACTTTTGTAAAATTTTTCGTAAAACGAACTTTAGTTAATTTACGTTCTGGATGCTGATATGCATACAACAAAACCTCCTCATCCCAAAAATGTTCGAACGACTTATTAACCGATTTGTCTAGCGGTTGAAGCTCATGAGTCGTATTTGAAGGCAAGCAATAGAGTACAATATCATGGGCATCAGCTGCGTCAACGATTCTTGCGTCTAAATGTGAGGAGGCCCCATCAAAAATTAGTAGGCATTTTCCTGGAGATTTATTCTGCCCTAAGTGGTGTATGAAATCAACAAAAAGTTCGGTCGTCATACTGCCCCTTGGAGCCATTTTGACTAAACTACCAGGTGGTAAATTGTCACAAAATTCTGGTCTCAACCTTTTGCCCTTAAATAGAATCATAGGTGGCACAGTGTTGCCCGTTGCACTTACACACATAGCGACTGTGACATTTTCTGCATGTTCTTGACTGACAAAGTGCACTCTCTTGGTTCCTTTTGCTGCAAAAACCTTCTGTTGGTGGTGTAGTGTTAGACGACATCCCTTTTCGTCCATGTTATAAAGCCGTTCCGGGTGGGTGGAAATATTTAACTCATCGTAAATGTCTTTTAGGGCTTCAAAATGTTTTAAAACTATTGGCTTGTTGAGTTTTTGTGCTCTGGCGGGATTTAACAATTGAGCCCTTCGTAGCGATATTTCTGGATTGCGTTTCACAAAATTTGTGAGCCATTTTTTTCCAGCAATATTCTTTCTATCACTAAAAAGATTCGGTACATTATTCGCTTTACAAAATTCGTAAGCCTGCTTCCGAACAATTTTGGGAGTTAATGGCATTCCTATCTGAGACAGTTTAATTATCCTTTTGCATAAATCCTTTTCTTGTGATTTATTAAGAATAGGGACACGACCAGTTATCTTCTCCATAGAACCAGATTCTATGTGGTTTCTTAATGTTCGCCTCGGTATGCCATATGTTTCAGCAGCTTCTCGCTGTGACATTTGGCAGCTTTTTACTGCTTGAAGGCCGGATTTCAACTGTGTTTCTGTCCACTCCCCGCGCCGTTTCTTAGTAGAAGGCTCCATTTTAATCTGCGATAAAAAATAGAATAAAACAAACAAAAATTTAGTACCTTAAAAAGTAATTTAAAAAGAAAAATGCTGACTTCAAATTTAATACATGCTTATTCAATCTCAACAACCACTAAACCGATTTTGTTAAAACTTACACTATTAAGTTAAGTTGGACTATAGGTACCTAATTCAAGATTTATTACAATCCAACATAGTTTCCGAAACATGCGCAGACAAACTTAAAAAAAACAAACATACAAACACAAAAATATACTAACACTACATTTCAATAATCCTAGAAAGGCCCGGGCTATGTTTGGGAATTATATTATGGGCCATGATAGGAAATTACACCCGGGTTGAGTATAATCTCGTAAAAATACAAAAAAGGAAATAAAATAATAACACTCACCTGTAATTCGCTGATAAATAGATTAAATATGAATTTTCACAGTTTAGAGCAAAGAGATTTGTTTTAAATCTGTTAATTTTCAAAAGGATTTAGATAATGAAGGTTATAAAACGTGTATCGTCTTGACATGACCAAGCAAACTATCATTTGTCTTCAAAATGGCGACGCGCCGGTAATGAAACACACTTGCACTATTGTCTATGGTACTAGTAGCATAAACCCGCTAAATTTCAAATGTTTCGAATAATCATAACTGTATTTTTTTTAAAGTGGGCTATCCTAGGAGCCGGGCCATCATCGGCGACACTACTTCTTAAGGATAAAAAAATAATTTTTACGGAGTTAATCACAGGAACAATGGAAATGTTATAAAATTTAAATACTGTTAGGTACAGGGTAACAGTATTCTAAGTTTATGAGTTATAAATATTGAAAATAATAGTTTTAACATTTTTTCTATTTTTTAGATTGGTTTTCTATAGAAAGTGTGTTTTTTAGTTTTTAAAACTATTTTTTTTTTAATGAGTGTATTGTCATCGGTCCTCGATATATCTACAAAGTTTGAACGAATTCTGACCGTTTAAAGTCAGTCAAAATCACGTCCAAAGGAGTCGGTTACAAACAAACATACAAACATACAAGTGAAGCTAATGAAAAGCGTGTAATATATACTGTCACCGACTGAAATAAGCATAATTCATGCACATGTCAAATGCCTGATAAAAGCTGTGTTGTTTGTCTCTTAATTATTTTACCCGTAGAATATTTTATCCAAATTTAATTTAGACCAAATTTGAGTACAAGAAATGAAATTCATAGTAATTACATAGGCGTTTAAGATATGAAAGAAAAATATTAAGTCGTATTAAGAACCATCTCCTTTCCGATGACGCTGCATTTTCTTAAAATAAACCAACTCACACTATCCGTGTGGTGACGGATGTCCGTGTGGTGACGGATTAAGAATACAAATTGTCACCACCCCAATTCATCCCGTGGGTGTCGTAAGAGCCGACTAAGGGAGCAAACTAAGCAGGACAACAGCACTGCAAAGAGAAGGAAAACTTGAAACAAACCCTATACCAACCCGTCTGGCCAGCGTGGTATAGTAGGCCAAAACCTCCGTTCTAAGGAGAGGCCTATGCCCAGCAGTGGATTAGTATAGGCTGTTGATGATGATGATGATGATGACACTGTCAACTTAAAGTACATACAGGCCGACGGGCCTGTTAGTCTAGTGGTTAGTGACCCTGACTGTTAAACCAGAGGTTGTGGGTTCTATTGCCACCCAAGACCAATAATTGTATTGATCACGATGATTTTTTCTATGTCTGGATGTAATTTATCTATCATATGAATGTATTTAGAAACATATAAGTATGTTTATCAGCAGTCTCGTTACCATAGTACAGGCTCTGCTAGTTTGAAATCTATAGTATTCTTTTTTATTATTTTGTTATTATAAAAATAATGAGATTACTTTTATTTATCTTTATACGATAACTAACACAAATAAACTATTTCGCAAGGAGTCGTCTGGTTTTTTCTCTTTAGTAATCACTCAATATGTATTTAGTGTGAAGAATCGTGTTTATCCTCATTTCAAGTAATCATTATCTTATATATAAAATTCTCGTGTCACAATATTCGTTCCCCTACTCCTCCGAAACGGCTTGACCGATTCTCATAAAATTTTGTGTGCACATTGGGTAGGTCTGAGAATCGGCCAACATTTTTTTTGTTTGCAATACAACGTTTGCCGGGTCAGCTAGTTATTTATAAACACTTCAACAGATTTCTTTATTTAATTTTAACACACACAAGATATTAAAATAGAAGGATTGGGTTATCTTGGTATGTACATGTCATGCGGAGGGATGAGGAAAATGTGGCGAAGAAAGTGTTAGGAATGGGAGTTGAGGGGAACAAGAGAAGAGGAACAGCAAAGAAAAGGTGGATGGACTGTGTGAGTAAGGATATGGCTAGGAAGGGAGTAAACAGTTAGATGACAAATGACAGAGTAGAATGGAAGAATTATGCTTACCGCGCCGACCCCAAATAAAATTGGGATAAGGGTAGGCAGATGATGATGATTAGATATCTAATTATTATTTTTAATCTGGTAGGAGTGTATACTAGCAGACGAGTCCCCTGATAGTAACTATTACCGCCAACCCTGGACACCTGCAACCTAAGAGTCATAAGTGCGTTGCCACCCTCGAGTCCCCCTCTACGATTTGAGGGAGGAGGGGTTCGAGCTACGGTAACCTTACTAGTTCGGTGAAGAGCAAGGAAATGATTATTTCCCACCGGTTTTTAGGCAGTTGTATTACTTTTATCGACCCCGCTGCGCTGCAGCAAATAGTTTTCGACTAACCTCACAAATTTGGGGAGCCAAGACAATTACTTATTCATATAGATTCTCAAGTTTATTTCTTTGTTACTACATGAAATACTGGATCCATCGCAATAGGTAGTGTAGGCAGTTGTTGCAAATTTATTAAGGAACTCACCCTAGGAGTACCTACCATAATTACCTAATTAAGTTTTTGTTGAATTTACTATTAACTCACATTCATATTGGTACATAATAGTATCAAATCTTTATGAATTTAACTGAAAGCTTTAGATATTTTAGCCGGGCAAGCTTTGGTGTATATTTGAAGATTTTATATCACTTTAATTTCGTAAAATAGGTATGTAGATAAGCTGCCTTTGAAATATCTATAATTGAACATAAAGGAACTAAGGGAGCAAACTAAGCAGGACAACAGCACTGCAAAGAGAAGGAAAACTTGAAACAAACGCTATACCAACCCGTCTGGCCAGCGTGTTATAGTAGGCCAAAACCTCCTTTCTAAGTAGAGGCCTATGTCCAGCAGTGGACTAGTATAGGCTGTTGATGTGAGATAAGCTTTAGGAACTGCTTTTATTCTGTAGCTAAGTCCTTATTGAACGCTCAAGTATAATATTTTGTTGAAAAAGTATTGATTAAAACGTGCATCACATACTATGTACTTACGATATTTATCCGTGTGGTGACGGATTAAGAATACAGAGTGTCATCACCCTATTCATGTCGTAAGAGCCGACTCAGAGAGCAAACTACGCAGGACAAAAGCACTGCAGAGAAGAGGAAAACTTGACACAAACCCTATACCAACCCGTCTGGCCAACGTCTTATATATCTGACTTCATAAAAATGCGTAGATATCTCAATTGGTTATTTTTTTGTTATCTCAAACTTCCGTCCCTGATTTGACTGATTTGAACTGATTTGTTGAATTGTATTTTTTTTTGGGAGGATGTACTTCCCGTTTGGTCCAATTCAAATTTAAAGAAATGATAACACCCATAAGGGTAGCAAATTAAGGAGTGAAGAAAACAATTCATTATGATGTTGTCGTATTGAAGTCACTGATACTTTTTTTATAAGTTTATAAGTAACATAAAAAGAACAACGCAACGTAAGGCAAAGCGCTTTTGACTGCTGAGTTGCATGCGTTCATGGGCGGCTGTAGTCACTTTCTATCTGGTATTCGTTTGCCCCTTCATCCATAAACAAATCAAATATTGAAAACTTTATGAACATGTTATGGTAGAAAAATATATATATAATATACACCTCGTGTTTTTTCCTCACGAAGTTCACTTGAATAAGTTAAATTGCTATTTATTTTAATATCGTGATATATATCTATTTGTTAATGTATTTTCATATATTATTTTAAAGATTATTTAAAAAACTAATTACATGGAAGATATGAATCATATAACGTAAATATAAATTTGAGTAGGATCTGCAGGCATAGGGTGTGTCTGAATGGAATGCAACAATAAAATATAAACTGTTAAATAGTGGTATTTGTTGGGGAATATAAAAAACATGTAGGGGAAATAAAAAGTATGTAAAAAAAATGTCAATTATAAAAAGCACCCCACGCTTTTTTTCAAAAAATAGAAAATAAATTTATTAAAATTTATTTTCTATTTTTTAGTTTGGTTTTCTATAAAAGTGTGTTTTTTAGTTTTTTTAAACTATTTTTTTTCTTAAATTAGTGTATTGTCATCG